TCTCTTTGGCAAGCTTTCTACATCATCATTGTTTGTTATTGATAAGCAGTGCAAAGACGAATACAAAGGACTTTGAGGAGAATACTCTAAAAGGAGTCGAACTTGTGAAAAAAATGATTGTGTACTGTCTGGAGATGTAGGAGACACAAGTATAGGTAATATATATGTGTGTGTGCTGTACATGAAATTTGCATCAGATCTTGCAATGTTTTTCTGAATCTTTCTCCCCCATTGAGGTGAGATAGGGAAATGTCAACCAAAGGGAGAAGGGGCAAACATGAGGCTTGCTGAGTGTTTGCAAGTTAATAATCTTTCCCCGAGGGTTGAGTTCCTCCAATCTCATTGACAAGGGGATGTATTATCATTTTTTTCTCTGGCCCTGCTGTCTTCCTTTTGTGTGTGATGTTGTTATCTCATAACTTGATGCTATTGAGATGATCACATTGTTGTGAAAGAGGAATACCTACAGATCAAAACATGGAGGAATCCCCAAAGATCAAAACATGGAGATACTCGGCTAGGATAAGAGAATAATCTATCCAGTAGGCACAGATGTTTTGCAATCCTTAATGTGTAAATGAATTCTTTCTATAAAATATTTAATTAAGAGTTGTGAGTTAACTATGGCTGTCATGAATTCCAAAGTAACTGATAATGGTTTGGGTTTTCATTGTATCTAACGTTTATCTCACAACCATTACAAAATAACTATTTATCAGGTTCTGCCTGCACCTAGTTACCAGGAAACATCCCATTTTCCTCTAATATAATATTTTGTAATATGATAACTTTAGAGTTTATATATGGTAAACTTATTTATGCAATTTGTTTTCTTGAGGAAGCAACTGGTTCAATAAATAGTACTTTATAAATTGATAGTGAAATAAGAACTTGTATATATACTGGTACTGAAATTCTGAACTTTGACAACATCATCATCTGATGTAAAATTTTTAACTGCTTGTCTGGGTTGAAGAGTGTTGATAACTACATTAATTTCTCTGTTGTGTTGTATTTTGCAGGAAACAGGATGGTGTAGCATGGTGATATGGATGTATTGATCAACAGTAAAATTGTTGTTGTGTCCCAGAATAATGGAGAGGAGGACTGATCTCCTGAAGGAAAATCCCCTTTGAAAGTGAAACTTTGTAGTCCCTTGATGAGAAATCTTCAAATTATAGCTCAAAATATTGTATTTTCATTCCTACAAAAGAACAGACACCCAGAAAGTGATAATTTTCTCTTTCCAGTTATTGGAGTTACAGGAAATTATGTGATTGTTTATTTTTATGATTCAGTGCACGATATTCTGCTTGAAGTCTCTCTGATGCCATTACATGGTATGGTTACATCAGCTGTTAATAAAATTAACTTGGTAGCTATTGTTGTGTCATTGTGTCATGGCTAGTTGTCAGTTATAAGTACCTCTGTGATGGTGAGAGGGAAGAAATGAAAATTATGAAAGCTGATTTCTTTTCACAAGCAGAGACAAAATTAAATATTTATGAGACACATTTAAAATCTGGTGAAGTAGGAAACATCTGTTCTACAGAAGATTCTGAAGCCATTCTGATACAAGGTCAAAAATCTTCATCACTAATAGATTTGAAGAAATGAAAACGATTGGTTGTTCTGGAACCAAGTGGTAATTAAGATTCCCATGTAATTAAAATTTGGAATCAACTAATGAAAAGAGATAACTTATTTAAAGTATTATTTATGTAAATATTCCCAAAAATTATTTGTGATCATTAGTCCAGAGGTATATATATATATATAACCATATGTAATTGTTTGAAGATAAAGAAATGGATCCTCATCATGGCCAGAGCCAGACAAGATAATTGGGTTTGAGTTTTTTTTTAACAATATTCCAAATTTTGGTGCCCTACTGGTCCAACCTGAGTAGATCATGAACATTATTTTGTTCTGTCACACTTGATGTTCTAAAACAAGAAATTAAACCTTAGTAAAAAGTAAGTTTTGATGAAGTGTGCATATTGAGATTTAGTTGTATTAGATTTTTTATGGCTTAGAACCATATATAATTTCTTTTGAATGCAAATGCTTTTTAAATTGATGAACTGTAACAATTGAAATTGTTTTGAAAATTACTTGGATGAAGTGATTATGTGCATATAGTAATTTAGGTGTCTTCCATTGATTTTACTTGCTTTTAAATTCCTTTTCAAAATTTAAGTTAGGAATCATAATTGCCTTCATCATGTTTTAACTGCCTTCCTTGTAAACACAACTCCTAATGTTTATATGACAAAAAACATGAAAATGAAGAAAATAAACCTTATTTAAATGTGAAAGAGTTTTTTAAGCCTAGTTTTTAAATTTCGGTATATGGTTTTATGTGAGACATGCCACATTTTGGACTTTAAATTCAATTTCAGTTTATGTGAGTATAATATGAACTCATCTCCTCAAGTTCCCAATAACATGAGAAACTAACATGGCATAAACACTAACTCTGTACCAAGAATGTGCACTTGTTTGAAGTTTTCATAGAGTTATGTCCCTTTAACCGATACATATCTCAAGTGTTCATTGACAAAATACTTGACCATTTATTATTGTTTTTAATTCTACGGATTAAAGACCAGACACGTTTATTTACTTCTGTCATGACATCACATCAGTCAGTCCATCTGTAAACCATCATGTCCCTCAAACTTCTTCAAAATGGATGATGAAATGATAACATGATCTCCACTACTGAGGAGGACGTGGTCATATCCAGACCTTGCCAGTATATTAATGTTACTTCTCCTGAACAGAAGGAGATTTAGAGACAGGAGTTCCATTTATGTGCGTACATGGTCCACTCATATTTTCGAATAAAATTTGGACCTGTACTACTGTACATTCAAGATTGCCACCATGCTTGTCGTCTTAAAATTGTGTGATCTCCATGAATGAAAATTATATCAGAACAGGACATCTAGTAATGATTTGTTTATGGTCCACAAATGGTCTTGTAACTATCATTTATACCATTGCCTCTTTTCAAGATGTCACTTCCGCCATCTTGAAAATATTGCTTTTTCCTGCCGTCACCAGACGGTGGGCTGCTAAAATCGCTCCATGGGCTGTGATCTGTTATCAGTCCTTAAACCATTTCTGACATCGCTGTTTACTGAGAATTATAGTACTAGATGGGTCTTCCTCAATTTCTTATGGAGGTTCCCTTGGTTCCTATTGGTGACTCTTCGATTTTGAGACTGACAGAGAAAAACAAACAGGACGCCATATTGGATTTTGACTGAACATTTCTTATCGCTATATCTTGAGAAATGCCTGGTACAGCTTTCTGAAATCATGTATTTAGATTTCCTTCCCCATAATTATGTCCCTCTTATTTTAGGACTGTTCAGAAAAAACTGAACTGAACAGCCATCTTGGATTTTAATAATTGAAAATTATTATTGTTATTTCTTGAGATGTAAGGGATGGATCGTTTTCAAATTTCAGTTTTCAGTTCCATTTTGTCCTAAGTACATATAAATGTAGTGCCCTTTTGCAGTTTTGAAATTGAGCAGGAAAGAGGCCTTCTGAGATCTTTATTTCTTAGATTTAATGTGACATTTTAATCTTAGCACTATGCCGTCTCTCAGAGTGAACGAACGGAAGTAACTTTAGAGGATTAGAACGTGAAAAACACTGACACAGAAAGAGCACCAGTTATATAAGGATTTTTTTTCTGTAATAAGGTCCTATTTCTATCGTCCTTATTTGTCGTCGTGTGTTATCCATTAATAATTTCACATTGCGACTTCAAGACGTGAATTTGAACCAAATATTGTAGCAAATAGTAATTTTCGTCATGTTTCACATATCGTGAGGTGTGAGGGACCATATAACAGACTTTTTTTTACATTGTAGAGTTACTTTATCAAAACAAATTAAAGCGATGACGGCATAAAAATTCAATCTACATTACAGTAGTTTTATGGTCGCCATAGTGATCATATTGAGAAATATCCTATTTCTTGTGAGATATGAATCTGGACGTGTTTGATGCTCGTTGCCTGTTGGTTCCGTTTTGTTGTATACATTGTTCTCATTTGAGAACATGACATTACTTACTTGGATTGACCAAGGTTTACATGGCGGGTGTCGTCGACGAAGCTGAGAAGTCGCTTACTTTTCCGAAACACCTGGTCTTAATCTCCTTGTACTTTGTTAGAAATCTCCGTGTTGACCTTTTTTTGGTACATGTTTTGACGTGGTTTTATTAAATTTGAGTTTGGATTGTGATTATGTTGCCATGTTGGTATTTTCTTGATGTTTCGTGTACAGGAAGTGGTGTCTGTATATTATAGACATGCCAACAAAGTCTCATTCTGTTGAGTAACTTTCTTGCATATCTTTGTTTTTTTCACAAACAAACCAAAGACTGGGGGGTTAAAAGTCGTATTATTTCATAGCACAAGTGAATATTTTGAAATAACGATTCTCAGTGTGAGATTAATACAAGTAATACTCAGTAGATTATTAGAAAGAACATAATGTATAGTGTTGTTGTTTTGTTAAATTGTGGGTTGTTTCCCACCCACCCCAACGCCCCACCCATTCATGGTAAACAACAGTCTGATATTTATATACATTTTCTGAAATTATCTGTTGAAATGTGTACTTGGTATTAAATCTGATCTATGATGACCACGAGTCGCGACATTAAATCTCCCGCGAATATTTCCAACTACAGTGTTCAAGCTAGTAATCAGATAGGTCACATGGAACGCTATAGTAACCGTGTAGATAAAGGCCATTCTACTTTTCTGTTGTGCATTTTTGCACCTATTCAAAGTATGATAATTTGTTTCTCCGATATTAATGATTAACGATATTTCAGCTATAAAAGAAATACAGAAAAGTGGATCAAGGGATGTGTCCCTGGTTGGTGTTTGAAAACACAAAATCTAGTTCACCTTCTGAATTTTGCGACAATGAAAAGAAAAAGAACTGAAATCAGAAAAATGTAACACAAGTGAATGATGATATTTATTTTCTAGATAAAGTATTCCTCACCATCATCGATATTGTACTCATATTTACAATTATATATATGAGATACTACAATGTGCCTCGACGGCTGCTGTCAATTCCCTATACAGTTATACATACATGTATGACCATTCTAAACTTGAGTCGGAGTCGAAAATATTGTAACTTAAATTATTTTACAACCGACACACTCAAATGTTATTAAGCACATTTGGTTATACAATACAAATAATGTCATTGGTAAGACATCAAATTCATGTTTACCGTGTAACAAGTGATAGGAAGCTGAAACTGCTGCAGATTTCTGCAGATTCCTATCTTCTAGTTACCCATATACAAGTGTGCACCATAGAAAGGAAAAGAATCTATAAGAACGATGAAACATGGTTATGCATTTTTCTAAATGCAAGTCAACTTTAAAATAAGGTTTTTACCATTTTCAATAGTTTGAGGTACTTTTGGAAAGCAGTGAACATGTACATCAGACTTAACAGGTATGGACTTATAAATGTAAAAAATATATATGTTCAGGTGTAGCGGGTTATTGAAATATGACTAAATATGTACATATGCTATTGTATTAAACTCTTAGACTTTCACATAAGGCACTTATATACATATATAACACAGATATAGGTATGTAAATATATAGATACAAAATCTTATAGTAGTCTACATTTAATTCATAGAAAAATGTTTTTCCTTATAGTTTTGTGACGTCACAATGGGTGAGACTCAGGAGAAAACTTGTGAAAAAATATAGCAAGTCTATTCACTGATTAATGCGTCAAAGATTTGATGAATTCATTGTATCATGACCTTGATTTTAAAATTGATTTCTATTATAAAACCATAAAATGCTTGCCATTTTCTGTTTTCTTTTATCTTTACAAAGATAACCAAATGATACCTACAGATCTTTGCCAATATCATATTTTCTACGTTCAAGAGATACAATACAGATTACAACCACGGTCAAAATTATTGACAAGAAAACATTAAAAATGTTGATAGCGTTAAATATAGTTCTCACTATCAGTGCCTTTGTCTCTTCTCTCTCGCTACAGAACGGCGCAAGCAATACTAGGAACAAAACAATCATCGCCACGACGAGACAAAAATTAAACAGGTATATTCTCACAGCCCACATCGCAGCGATGGCAGCCCCGTAAACGAAACCTTGATTCTTGCAGACATGGACCTAAGCATAAGAAAAAGAAAAGAAAAAAAAATCTGGACGATTAAAACAGCCAGACAGTTTAAATGCAATACTGTAATGAATCTAAAGGAAGAAAAAAAATCAGAAATATGTTTTAAAACGAGGGTCGGCACAATTAATATGAATATAATTAATATTGTGTGAGAAGCTGAGCGTCCAATCCTCTTGATCGGTGTATTTTACGTAATTGTTTCTCTTTATGAATATGTTTCATTTTGCGAATATTTACAAAATGTATACTGCTCTAACCACGTTTTCCAGTATTCGCTTTGTCATTATGATAACCGGAACAGAAAACACACAGACATTTGATATGTAACACAATAAGATAAAGCAGACGGCGGAAAAGCTTGATGATATATAAATAATGCTATTTATCTATAGCCAGTACGAAATAATAATAATAAAAGAGACATTGGTGACGAGTAACATTATATATTTGAATGTTCGGCTTTAGAAAATGAAAAAAGTTTGCTTACTATCGAAAATGATTATAAGAGATAGTGTGTTAATATATAAAATATCATGTTATCTTAAAAAAAACATCTTTAAAAAAAAATTAAAAAGTTATTCGCCTTCAATTCGAATTCTGTGATACATTCTTCCATCTATCAAGTCACATATGCGCACTGTATCGCTTATACTGTATATGTATTTTATATCTCTGTATACTATTTGTAGATTTGTCAAGGTGTGGAAATATTACAAAAATTTAATGGAGATTGCTTGTGAGACCTACCTACAGTATACTAGCTCTACTTGTGAGCCCCAGATTTCTACCAGCTGGAAGGCGAACGCCTACTCCCTTGCCGATACTTACAGGAATTTACTACGATACTAGGCATACGTCCAGACATCTTCAGTAATATAATTGTCCACGATTAAACAAGATATACTTACCGTTGTTATTGAAGCAACTGCACAAAGGACAAGTGGCAAGGTGCACAAGAGGAAACGCCATATAGATATGCGGAATGCTACCGTGTTTGTCTTCAACTAAAAGGGAAACAAAACATTTCCATCGCCTTTTAATAAAGATGTTTACAAATAAGAGACATCAATACATTTCTATAACAGAATTATATAAACGATGAAAATATTTAATATCCGACCACTTATCATGAGTAATGCATTATGTAAGAAAACTGTATTTCTGTAACGTTTTCCATGGCAAATTGTTACCAGTAGACTTCACTGGTAATTAGAAAAATATAATTGTATCATGTATGTATGTTTATTTACAACTAAAGTGCGGTATATTTGTGAGCTACCTTTTCGTCAGAGGTTCGTACCGCAGCACCAACAGCGTCAAGTGGAAGTTCTTGCATGTTAACTGTACCGTCCAGTAGTTTTCTAAATCATGTAGAGAAAAAAATTAATAGAACAAGAATGAAGCTCTTAAAACACAGTCAGTAAAAGATTGAAGTGTGATGTTTCGATGACAACACCGTCACCTTCATCGGTGTATGACGATATAATAAAGAGATTATAGCGAAAAAGTACAAGAAGATGGTAATAATGTTCTGTAGTCGATCCGGCTACGCTTTATTAAGCAATTGGTCATAGATGTGTGATAGTCTGTGCCCCCCTCGTCCCTGTTCAGTTCTGACTCGCTGCGGATTACTAAGATGGCTTTCTTAGCCAGCAGCCTGATTTTTTTAATCTTTCCGGAAAATGATATGATTTTGCTGCATGGATTGATCAATAAGTATCAATTTATTGATCTGGGGCTGAGATTGAGTTCGTTTTGATCTAGTAATTTTTCCCCCTTTCTTGGGAATACGCGTCTTTCTGATGTTCCTTTCAATGCAAGTAGTACCCTGAATCTCATATTCGTATACAATAAAGTATACTTATGTTATACATATAAGCAGCACACTTGAGGAAATGAAATACGATAAAAAATAGGCGATCATGTCTTAAAAGACAAGATTATTGAGAGGTGAAGAAATTAGTAAGTTCAACATTTTCTTGAAAACAATATTCTTTTTACGTGTCGGTATTTTCTTTGAATTTTATTTTCTAAATGCTCGGAAACGTGCACAAATGTCCTACTTAAACACTTTTTATACCATTTTCCATAATGCGAAATCCAACACGTTACTATTTACACTATGAACTTGTTTTACATTTGCATACAGGTATATTTGCTTGATATCGTTTTAAATTTGGTCGTCTATGAATACATAAAAGCACACTGAGACATATTGATAATCATCACTAGTCCGGTCATTTTACCCTAAATTATAGCCTAACCTATTTACAACAGATTTAAGCGATAAAAATATCCAGCAATCAAACTTAGGAGAAAAAGGTTTCTTGCCTGCTGTAGGATCAAGAAGATAAGGGAAAAAATATGATAATATTTAAGTGTAATATCTACCTTTTGTGTGCAATATTTGATACATGAAATTATCTGTAAAGGAAAACCAAATGTAATATTGTACTGTAAAATCGTACAGCAGAGGTTTCGTAATGCAAAACATTAAAAGTTGCAATGGCTTGAAAACTGTTCTTTTTTTCATTTTTCTAAATTTTTGACAATATTTTTGTGGTAGTATTGCCTTTTGTTTCCTTTTTAAATGCAGAATATACTACAATTTACTAACAGTAACAATTTGAGTTTACATTTGATTTCTTAAAACATGACATTTAAACTTTTACGCATATGTCATAAACGATAAGTTCACATACAAAATAAACGTATAATTTTGCCAGTTCTGTCTATTTAGCGTTATTTATGTCCAAATTTAACAATTTACATATTTATGCAACATTTTAAAGGACAAGCAAATGTTAACAGGCCTTTTGCATCAATTTGTTTCTGTGCAGTGCGTATAGAAAGATGGGCTTAAAGTTGTGCCCAAGCACATCATTTCATACAATTTTGCCTCAACGTTGAACAAATGCTGAAATCCTTATTTTTTAACAGGTGTTGGCCAACTAACATATGTTTTTCCAATAATACAAATATAAAATGGATGTTTTCATTAAATAGATTTGAAGTTTTGCAATCGTATAGCTTCAACATTTCAATAAAAGTCACGTATCTCTCCATTATAAGAAACATTTTGATTAATTTATTATCAGGTGTAAGTTTAACCTTAATTCCCTGTAATCATGATCGTGTTCCTGACAAACGAATTAACAATAAGATTTAAAAACAAAACAAAAAATTGCGTTCAATGGAACAAAACTGATGATAATCTAATGCTTTATAGCAATATTCATTGTGCTTTGTTTTTCGGTGTTATAGTCCCTATTGATATCAAAATTAAAAAATTGTCTTCCTTCATCAATAATGTTACAATGTCCAAGATAAAAGTAAATCAACACAATATACCATGTTATAGATTTTAATTGCCTGTGGTAATTGTACCCGAGTTTTGTGTACATCTATATAAATCCTGATGCTATTAGTTTGAGGTTAAGCCATAAAATAACTGGGCTACAATGTGTTGAAATATTTGTGTCCAGAATATTGCAATCAAAGGGCATTAAAGAATGTGCAAGTATTGGTTTTTGTAAGGAATAGTGCCGAAATTCATATAGCTTTATTCACCGTATTTAAGCGTGTATGTGAGGATTAATGTTGGCCTGGCGGAATTGATATGGTGGTTTTGGTGATATCGCGAGTGAAAAGTTTATGAATAGATACACATATGTTGTTATAAAATATTACGGTTTTTTCGGGTGTTTTTTTGTTTTTTTTTTTTTTTTTTTTGTTTTGTTTTTTGTTTTTGTTTTTTTTTGCAAACGTTTCAAAACAGTCTCGCAGAATACTTGATGTTAAGCACGTGCGTTTAAAATTAATAAAGTATGTTCTCTTCTACAACTAGTTGTAACTTGAGAATGTTTATCACTCTGACATGACAGTAAAACATGTATGCACACTGTAAGTGTAGGACTAGTTTAAATATAAGTTTATTGATTAATTAGATACAAGAAGAAGACACAAAATAAACAGAGTTGTGAAGAGATATGAGAGCAAGCTTGTAGTTTGTGTTTGTCATCTCCCAAAGTTGACCAGCATGCACATTGCTATTGATTGATACAAACATTATGATATATTATAGTACAAGAACTGCTGCGTGATTAACTTACACAAACATTTATGTATATATATATATATATATATACAATGTTTGATGTTTGATTTGAAGTTTAGGATTAAAGATATAAATCCTAAAAATTTAAAAGATTCTGACGAAGGACAAAAACTTACTGGTCTATATCTGGGAAAGACATTCACAAAGTATGATATAATTACCTACTTGTACAACGCACACTCAACAGAGTCAATGCTCCCTGGAACACAAGTTCCCAGAGTCTCGGCAGTTTGTGCTGGTTACACTGATATAACGCCGTCCCCCAGTATATGCTGTGTGTAATTGGCAGTGTTACCGAGTAATATGTGATATAATGTGTCTAGTCGTAACAAACATTGTAAACAGACGTTCGTGCGAGAAAAAAAAATGTTTCTAATATTTGAGAGGATAATATATAAAGAGCATGCATATTTGTATATGTACCAAAAATGTAGGCATACACCCTACACTGAAATATTTGTAAATGATGTAAACTTTATCAGAAAACCACGAAATGAAATTACAACATTGACCTACATTTTGTACTATTAGTACAAGATTGTACAAAAGACGCACAAAGTGTGTATTTATAAACAAAATATCACAAGAGCATGGTGATGAAAGGACAAAAAACAAAAACAAACAAAAAAACAAAACAAAAAAACATAACTTTTAGATATGCAAGCTTATGATAGGTTTTAAGTTGATTTTCTAAACGTAGTTCAAGCGAACCATAAATAATAAGTAATTAAATATGAAAACCAAAAATTAGAAAATAAGGAATGAATTACCTGCTATGAAGAATGTAGTAATATATAAAAATTGCCAATTAAAGAGGTATAGCACTTAACGGTGTCCCAGTAACTATTTCAGTCCATCGCCTTGACAGGCCTGAAAAATACATGACTAGTCAATTATATGTAAATGCACATTCATTAACACCGTGTCTAACTCCTAATTACAATTACTATTTAACGTAAGAAGTTCAATAGTCATACATGTACTAAGTACTCAAAAATACTAGACGATGTGTGCCTTAATTATAATCAATGCTTCAGGTATGTATCTTATCAATAACATTCATGACGATAATAAACATCTGGATGGGAATATTTCTAATTATTAAGATCTAATTGACAAATTAAATACAATATTTGATATTGGGTTACCGTTGAAGTAATCTCCGTCCTGTACACCTGTTCGTTGCCCTTTAAACAAGTGAGTGATGAATTTCATTTAGGCTTTGTTTTACACAGTCACATCAATCACCAGTACATTAGCTCTATCTTCTTATGCTTACATATATATATCCTTCATTGATATCTTTTCAGACGTTATAAAACAATATTACGGTAAGTTGTTTATACTTTACAACAAAGTCATGTCGACACTTTGAATGGAATTTCTTGTGAAAATAGCTGTATACAATGTAAATACATATATAAAAAGAGGCAATTTAAGATACACACATGCTCGTTACAAAATAAGTTTGGGTTAGAATGCCTATTGTAAGTTGTGTCTTTCTCCCGACATCGTTGCATCAGAAAAATCCAGCACATGCGATAACTATACCACTGTTTAGTGTCGATGCATGTAAAACGCAGTAAAATATGTCTGTGAATTACTTACCTCGGCAGATCGGCTGCTAATGTAAACCACTGCAGTTTTTAACAAAAACAAAGTTGCTGATTGGCTGATGCGATGTCAGGTGACCTGTAGCTCTAGCTGTTGTTATGTAGATATGTAATATTACTTATCTTTGAGTGTGTTTTTCTGTAACATCTTGGATACAGGATGTTTTTTACATGCATTCCATTAATTACTTGCTTACTTGATCTGTAGCACTGTTTTTCATTCGGCGACAAGTTGTCCAAGAGAATTTTCCAGACAATTTGTTAAGCAGGAGACTGGGACTTGATATTAACTGTCCTGCTGCTGTACCGTACTTAAGTTCTATGGTCGCACAACACTACCAAGTGTTTATTTGTAGCTGTGCTATAAATAGCTAACACTGCAAGAAAATACTTCACCCAACCATTTTACAGTTAGATTTGAAACTCACATTTATATACATAGTGATAGCATGTAAAACAGATGAGCCACATTTCACGTTTGTCCTCTTTTTGTACATTTTTTGCAGTCTTGTTTAATAAGTCATTAGTGAAGTTTATATTTTACTCATAAAATGGTATGATTTCAAATTACTGGTCTAGCCTGTGTTTACCTCTCTCCGTTTACTTTTTAAATCGTCATTATAACACTCACTGGTATTTGGTTTGTTGGCCACCAAGTCTATGGTTTATACCGACTAGCATTGAAAATCAAAGACATTGCTCATATAGTGAGTTTCCCTTTTTGGATATCAACATGCCTACATCCCAAACCTAAGGTCTTAACATGTCGCATTTGATTCGATATTCAATGGCAGATTCTAAATACCACGATTTTCGTGCAAAAAGCCGTCAACTGGCGAACTCATTCGTAGCACCGGATTTCTGGAGATACAGGTTGATTAAAATTATGGTGAGCTTTCATGGTCATCACAGTGATCTCATCGAGAAATATTTTATTTCTTTGTACGTTATGAAGCTGAACGTGTTTGATGCTCGCTATAGTTAGCATGTTTGATTCGTTATTGTTGACCTTGTTCTCATTTACGAATGTGGCATCCCTGGCTTGTATTGAACATTATCTGACTGGTGTCGTCTTTGAAGCACAAGACGCTTGTCCTTCCGGAACATTTTGTCTTATTCTCCTTGCACTGTTTTAGCAGTATCCGTGCAAATCTTTGTTTTTATTCTTATTTATGCTAGCTTTGTTGTTTGGATTATGACTCTGTTTACATTTTGATATATTTTGTTGTTGTCGGAAAAATATACTTCTCTATCCTTGATTGATCTCTCTGTTTATATGCAAGTTTTTCAGTCGGTATATATTTGTTTCTCCGTAACATCAATATTTCTATTTTTTTAATATTCTATTCCATAATATCTATATATCAATATCAATAAATCAATATCAATATTCAATATCATGTTAATTTTTCTTTACAATGTCCTTCTATCTCGACATATTTCTAAACGACATCGGGGTATTGCATAGTTTTGTGTTTTTCCAGGATTTATTTATACACACTTTGTTTTCAAACATTACCTTTTCCGTATGTTATACATGTCTGTTTCTAGACGACCTTTTGATCACTTTGACCTAGTTTTGTTCAAACCCTTGTTACAAAATTAAGTATACATATAACTGTTAATAAAAGCGAACAACACAGAAAATGAACACATTTACAGATTCAGACCCAATTACAAGTTACAACATAATTAATTACTATGTGAAGGTATATCGACAGCAAAATAGGAATGACAATGACGAATTAATTGGAATGTATACCCATATATATATCATAGTTTTACCAGAGTTCCCTCCCTTCGTCCTCGGCACGATATCAATTATTAGTGTTGTCTATTATGATCCACTAAAGCCGTTTGAACTTTAAAATAATGTTGAAATGAGAGATGGTAAACTAAAGATCAGCTAGTGGTAAGTACACGGCGACAACATTACTTAGTTTGTCCATAATGTCATACTTGAACAACAAATGTTTCAACAATGTTAAAATATGTTGACATATACAGGTAGCTGATTGGCGTTGAAGTTGATATTTTGATTTAGTGAAGAAATGCGTATTTAATTATTAACCGAAAACAAACACATAGCTGAGCACAACATAGCGTCTTCGGCAGGTTTATTACAAAAGTGTTTATGTTGCAAGATTAATGTGAAATTACCGTTTTAACTTGCGATGTCTACATACATTTGCATTTACAAGTTTTGGAAACATTCGGTTCTGTACAACTTTCGCTTGCCACATTTGTTACAATATTATTGTAACTTTACTTCGGTTTTGACCTCCTGTCTGGCCGCGCATTTCAAACAAAATAACATAATCTCTTTCTATGGTTGAAACACCCAAAGAAGTCAATTTCGCGCTTGAAAATTCAAATCGAAACTAAACCTATTCATGCGGAGAGACTACCCGGAAGAACAAGGCACGTATATCTCGTCAGCAGATCAGATACCTCTGCAGTTCTGGTAAACATACGACTGTTCCTTTTTGATGTCACAACTCTGGAGTGCGTAAGTGATTCGTAAAATGTTTCGACAGTATTCCCTGGTAAGATAACGAGAGTCAGGCTTAACAGTACAGTCAAACCTTAACATACAGCCAGACCTTGTAGTGTAGTCAGACCTCATAGTGTAATCACAACTTGTATGACAGTCAGATCTCATAGTACTGGCAAACCTGACAGAACTGTCAGACACTATAGTACAGCCAGATCTCATAGTACTGGCAAACATTACAGTACAGCCAGACACTATAGTACAGCCAGATCTCACAGTACTGGCAAACCTTACAGTACAGCCAGACACTATAGTACAGCCAGATCTCACAGTACTGGCAAACCTGACAGAACTGTCAGACACTATAGTACAGCCAGATCTCATAGTACTGGCAAACATTACAGTACAGCCAGACACTATAGTACAGCCAGATCTCACAGTACTGGCAAACCTTACAGAACTGCCAGACACTATAGTACAGCCAGATCTCACAGTACTGGCAAACCTTACAGAACTGCCAGACACTATAGTACAGCCAGATCTCACAGTACTGGCAAACCTTACAGAACTGCCAGACACTATAGTACAGCCAGATCTCACAGTACTGGCAAACCTTACAGTACAGCCAGACACTATAGTACAGCCAGATCTCACAGTACTGGCAAACCTTACAGAACTGCCAGACACTATAGTACAGCCAGATCTCACAGTACTGGCAAACCTTACAGAACTGCCAGACACTATAGTACAGCCAGACCTCATAGTACTGGCAAACCTTACAGAACTGCCAGACACTATAGTACAGCCAGATCTCACAGTACTGGCAAACCTTACAGTACAGCCAGACACTATAGTACAGTCAGATCTCACAGTACTGGCAAACCTTACAGTACAGCCAGACACTATAGTACAGCCAGATCTTACAGTAATGGCAAACCTTACAGAACTGCCAGACACTATAGTACAGCCAGACCTCATAGTACTGGCAAACCTTACAGAACTGCCAGACACTATAGTACAGCCAGATCTCACAGTACTGGCAAACCTTACAGTACAGCCAGACACTATAGTACAGCCAGATCTCACAGTACTGGCAAACCTTACAGTACAGCCAGACACTATAGTACAGCCAGATCTCACAGTACTGGCAAACCTTACAGAACTGCCAGACACTATAGTACAGCCAGATCTCACAGTACTGGCAAACATTACAGTACAGCCAGACACTATAGTACAGCCAGATCTCACAGTACTGGCAAACCTTACAGTACAGCCAGACACTATAGTACAGCCAGATCTCACAGTACTGGCAAACCTTACAGTACAGCCAGACACTATAGTACAGCCAGATCTCACAGTAATGGCAAACCTTACAGAACTGTCAGACACTATAGTACAGTCAGACCTCATAGTACTGGCAAACCTTACAGAACTGTCAGACCCTATAGTACAGTCAGACCTCACAGTACTGGCAAACCTTACAGAACTGTCAGACCCTATAGTACAGTCAGACCTCATAGTACTGGCAAACCTTACAGAACTGTCAGACACTATAGTACAGCCAGATCTCACAGTACTGGCAAACCTTACAGAACTGTCAGATTCTATAGTACAGCCAGACTCTATAGTACAGCCAGACCCTATAGTACAGTCAGACCTCATAGTACAGTCATATCATACAATAAGTCAGACCTTATGGTTCAGTAATATTGTAATGTACAGTAAGGCTTTATAGTACACTCAGACCTTATAGTACAGTCATATCATACAATAAGTCAGACCTTATAGTACAGTCAGACCTTATAGTACAATCTTATCATACAATAAGTCAGACCTTATAGTACAGTCATATCATACAATAAGACAGACCTTATAGTACAGTCTTATCATACAATAAGTCAGACCTTATAGTACAGTCATATCATACAATAAGTCAGACCTTATAGTACAGTCAGACCTTATAGTACAATCTTATCATACAATAAGTCAAACCTTATAGTACAGTCATATCATACAATAAGTCAGACCTTATAGTACAATCTTATCATACAATAAGTCAGACCTTATAGTACAGTCAGACCTTATAGTACAGTCTTATCATACAATAAGTCAGACCTTATAGTACAATCTTATCATACAATAAGTCAGACCTTATAGTACAGTCTTATCATATAATAAGTCAGACCTTATAGTACAGTCTTATCATATAATAAGTCAGACCTTATAGTACAGTCTTATCATACAATAAGTCAGACCTTATAGTACAGTCTTATCATATAATAAGTCAGACCTTATAGTACAGTCTTATCATACAATAAGTCAGAACTTATAGTACAGTCATATCATATATAGTACAATCTTATCATACAATAAGTCAGACCTTATAGTACAGTCATAACATACAATAAGTCAGACCTTATAGTACATTCTTATCATACAATAAGTCAGACCTTATAGTACAGTCATATCATACAATAAGTCAGACCTTATAGTACAGTCTTATCATATAATAAGTCAGACCT